CTTTTTTGGAGCTGTTGTTTTCAAATATCATCTCCCCTTCGGTTGGTTGCCTTTTAGTTTTGTTGGTGGTTTCTTTTGCTGTGCAGAAGCTTTTTAGTTTGATATAGTCCCCTTCATTTATTTTTGTCTTTACTTCCTTTGCCTTTGGGGTCAAATTCATAAAATGTTCTCTACAGCCAAGGTCCATAAGTTTGGCACCTGTGTTTTCTTCTATGTAATTTATTGTTTTGGTTCTTATATTTAGGTCTTTGGGATATAAAACTGATAGCAACAAAGAAACAGACAAGAAAAACAAACAAAAACTCGTAAACACAAACAACAGTATGGTGGTTATCAGAGGAAAGGGGGGTGGTGAGTAGTAAAGGGTAAAGGGGATCAAATGTATGGTGATGGAAGATGAGTTTACTTTGGGTGGTATGCTCACAATGCAATATATGGATCGTGTGTCATAGAAATGTACACTTGAAACCTATATAATCTTATTAACCACTGTCACCCCAATACATGTAATTAAAAGAAGAAGTAGTCTAGAAGTGTGGCCAATTTTAGTATATCTGGAAGCTGATAACAATTCTCTGCCATTCTTTATGTTCAGCTTCAGCTTTGTGCTGGCTTTCACACCCAACAGCAACTGGGATAACATGTTTTATTGAACATGTCCACTGGGGAAGAGAACCCTCTGTAAATTTGGGCTAAATGTTGAATGGGTCATCTTTGGTCTCATGTCCACCTCCAGACCCATAATAGTTGCCAGAGAAATGTTAGTCAAGGAATGATTTTTTTTTTTTTTAAGCCACCGCTGGAGCCTGGCTTGGTGTGGCTCAGTGGTTGAGCATCCACCAAGGATCCCGGAGATAGAGGTTCAATTTCTGGCCAGGGCACATGCCTGGGTTACAGCTCGATCCCCAGTTGGGGGCATGCAGGAGGCAGCTGATCAATGACTCATCATTGATGCTTCTATCTCTCTCTCTCCCCCACTCCCTTTCTCTCTCTGAAATCAATGAAGATATATTAAAAAAAAAAAAAAAAAAGCCACTGCTAGAGCTGAACAAAACTGAGAGTTGGGTAAGGAGAAAAAGAGAAATCTATGCTATAAGGCAATAAATAAAGTTTACACACTGAGACAAGTCCAAGAATAAGTGCCAAAGAGAATCTAAGTTCCGACATGCTTTTAGGCATTGTGGCCAAATAGAAATGACATCTTCTTAGTGAGAATAAACCTTACAAATGAACTCCTGAAATAAATAGGTACTTATAAGTTGAAGATTTCTTATATAGGCCTAAACCACAAAATAGACATTTAGCAGTATTTGTTTTTAGGTGTGGAAGATCAAATAGGGTAAAATGTTGTTAATGAGGTTGGGGCAGGGGGAGATAGATACTATGAGCCATGAACTTTTTATGTTAGGTTGAGTTCTTCCAATGTTAGACAAATCTAAAGTACAAAAGGATCAACAAATATTTTTATATTATGCTTCCAAATGAAAGGTATTTTTTTTGTGTTTGCAATCACTGTTGATAACTCAGTTTCCTTTGCATCAGTTCTTTCTTCTTTCTTTATTGCATTAAAGCATCAATAAATCTAATTGATTTGTTCTTCACAGAGAACATTTAAAGTAATCTTACTCTCTAATACTTGAAACTTGTGTTTAGACGTCTTCTACCACTCTTTCCTGCTTGGACTGAAGGAGAAAAATAAATATATTTGAACATCTTGGATGAACCTAGAATGCTCTGATAATAGCCAGAAGTCTCTCCCAAAGGTATAATCAGGCTTCTCATGTGCTTTGGGGTGCAGAGCACTTTTAGGAGCACCCAGAGACCAGCCCCACCTTAATTAATGCCACACTTCAGTGGCTATTTGGGTTATGGAGCATAGTTGGGTGACAGGCAGCTAAAATGTTTATTCAGTACAGTTTTTACACTCTCCCATTGTTCTATTTTTTTTAATCTCCAAGGACAACCTACTCAAGAAAATAAATATTCAAACAAAAAATCTGCTGCTTCCCAAGCTCCAGTTAGCTAAGTTTCCAGATCAGTTTCTTCTTTGTAATCATCATAATGCTTAAAATTTTTTCTTTGGCTTCCATTTCGTTCTGAAACCTATTAGTGGAATCTAAAGGTGATTCTGTGGTTCATGGTAAACAGCTGAAATACAGTTGACATATATTTGCCAATATAAAAATCCTTTTCACATTTCATGGCTAAGCTCAAATGTTACCTCTCCTGTGAAACCATTTCTTCTATGACTATCTTATTCATAATTGATTACTTTTTCCTCTAGACTCTCACCAAATATCAGCCTACATCTCTATAGCATGGTGAAAACAATTATTGTAATAGCTAACACAAAAGTTTACTAGTGCAATAAAATCTGTTACACCATAAATTCCTTGTGTTGATAACTTTGGATGATATCAAGGAAAAAGGACTAAGTTTCCTGTCTATTCTTGCAAATTCCCTAGTTAAGTTTTTCAGAAGCTAATACTGACATGTGAATTTGTTATGCAAATAATTTAAGGCATGCTCTCTGGAGGAACTGTAAGGAAGTAGGTGAGGTAAGAGGGAAGGGAGAGGGCTTAAGTAAAGGTGAAGTCCAGCCTCAGCATGATCCCCTGGGGAGCTCTGAAGCAGAAGTTGCAGTACAGAGTATCTTGCCTCTAGGCAGAGGCAAATGGTTACTGTATCTGTCAGCCATTGGCTTGGGGATGCCCAGTAAGGACATAAACTCAAGTTTACCTGGCATTTGTGGCTCTCTAATCCCATGGGCAACTCCAACCACCTAAAGGTAGTCCTCTAAAGAAGTTAGTATGTGCCAGCCCTTAGAAGTAAGGAAGGTTGCAACTGAGAGGTGAGAGCACAGGTTCAAGAAGGGATGAAAAAGGATCTGAATGAAGCACCACAGATAGTGGTCACTACAACTAGTAAATCAAGAGCCAAACAAACGAACAATAGGAATAATGATTATAGCCAGGAATTATTGAGTGCTTACTGTAGGTCAGCATTGCTCTAAGTTCTTGATAATATCAGCTTATTTAACCCTTACAACAACCTTATAAGGTAGCTAATGTCACTATTTTTGTTTTGTCAAATGGGGAAACTAGATTTATCTATGGAAATAACTTGTCTAAGGTGACACAAACATTTCATGGTACAACTAAGATTTCAATCAACAAGTGTGGATGTATGCTTCAACAGTGTGTAATCTAAACACCAGGCTGCCAACTTTGTCATGGCTTCTCAATATACAAAGTTGTTAAGAGTGGCAGAACCTGAGTCATCTGGGCTAGGCTCATACCTTGGTAGCTCAGAACAAAATGAAACAACACATCTAACACAATTAGTACAGAAAAAGCACTCAAATCTTCAAAAAAGTTTAAAGAGCCAGAAAATCAATAGCTTTATCCTAGATAGTTCTTTTGTATATTATACAATTTGGCTAAATTTCTTTAAAGAGAATAAGACAAGAAGACAAGGGGTGAAAATGGAGAAAAAAGAAGATCCCTCTTCTTTTTTCTCCATTTAAAATAAATAAAAGTTATTGAGAATGACAGAAACAAAGACCTGGACAAAGGCTTATTCACTGTACTTCAGTGTTTCCTGGGATCTGGTTATTAATTTTCTTTCCCAGAAGTGAGTGATTTTAATTGTCTTGAGAATGTCATCAATAACTGGTTAATACCTTATCCCTCATAAACAATGTAACTTTTTGCAACACATTAGAAAATTTGGCCACATTTCATAACTGGCATACTAATGCCAAAAATATCATTTCTGATTTCTTTAAAATCTAAAATCATTAACTGCATTTTGTTGGCACCTGAATTCTAAGCATAGAAAAACTGCAATAATTTTAATCAAAGCCTTTGCTTCTTTAAGATTGGTTGAATATCTTATAATAATAGAAATGAAAATTCTGGGCTCTGAACTATGAAATAAGCATCAAACAAGAATATTTCAATGCATTTCCAATTCTAAGTATCCTGATTGCTTTAGGTACATTGAATATTTTTGGAACATGTGAAGATAATCTTACCACAATTTTTCTCCTCAAGTAAAATAAACAAAGCTTCTGATTGCAGTTTTGGGAAGCATACAAGACACATAAAATATAAGTTGCATGACTGAGAAGGAAACTATTTCTGCTCCTCTATTCAGAGGTGATATGTAAAAGCTAAATATATTTACAAGCAGGGCAGTACTGGTAGCAACTAATTGCAGTGGACGCAACAACCAATCAGAATGACAATATGATCATTCAGAACAGATAATGCAACCAATCAGAATGAATGCTGGTTGAAACATAGGTGAGATCATATACAAGGATCCAGCTAAATATCAACCTTTCCTACAACTGATATGAAACTCAACTGTGCCAATATTACTAAACTTTTCTCACATAGAAACATATTTGAAGAAATTTAGGTGCTTTCTGGGGTAGAACTGATACTTTTCACTCTCCAGATCCCCTTCTTCTTCTTCCAGCTATGGTGAAGGCAATGTCTCAGTAAGACTGATCTGAGAAAATAATTATAAATAAATAATAGCTAATATTTATTGTTCACTTAGGTACTGGGTGCTGCACATGTATTATCTTCCTTAATCTTTGCAGCAACCCTATGAAGAGGGTACTATTATTATCCTTGTTTGATTGATAAGGAAACCAAGACATGGAGAAGTTGAGTAACTTAGTCAAGGTCATGCAACTAATACACTCCAGAGCTGGTGCTAAAACCTGGGCAGTGCTTCCATTTAGCTACAAGTTATGACATTATTAACAAATGGGCATTCTCATCAACACTATATTATTAGCTCAATTCCATTCTTTCATCTAGCTAAATAATAAAGTACTAAAAATATCTGGGCTATGGCTGGGAACCCATGAAATCACTGAACAACATTTGTCTTCAATGTAGTTGTAGTTGTGACATTTCTGATCTAAATTGCCCCAAACAAACAGAAAGCAGTCAAGGAGGGCAGAAAAGATACAATATTATTACCTTATTCTCTTGTCCTCCACTTTTTTCAAATATTCATCTCTCTTTAAGACTCCTAGGATCATTTCCTTCTCATGATCTAATAAAAATGAGAGATTAATGAACTCCGAGCTCTTAGACATGGTATTTCAGCAGCAGCTCTGAATAGCAGTGGTCTAATCTTCCAGGTGAATTGATATTCCCAATTTTTAAGGTCCCCTTCAACAATTCAAAGTCACTCAGTTATTTGATATAGAGTGGTTTTTATAAAGTATTTGAAGAATCGCCAGTGTTAGTTAGATATTCTTCCAAGCTACACAGAAAACAGGCTCCACTGGAAATACATTCCAAGAAAGTCATTATTGTCTTAACTGAAAAAGATATCCAAAGCTTTTGCTGTGGTGTACAGTCAGGTGGAAGCTGAGTTTCACTAATAATGTTCAACATCAATCCTTCAGAAAGCTACAGGACAGGAGTCATATCCACTGGGGAAGAATCCAGAAACACTGAAAAGGTAGAGAAAACAATGGAGAGAAAAATTAATTAGGTCATTTTTCCCATAATACTTGTAAGAGTATCTAATTTTTGAAACAGTGATATACTTAACTTAAAAAGCAGTTTTTAATCAGTAAACATGCATTTATTATGTCCATATCATGTGTTTATTACCATGAAATATTTATATTTGGTTGATTCCAGGTTCTTTATGCAAATTCAGTTTTTTATTATAATTAGCATCTTTTACTAGCCAGATCCCCTTACATTTGCAGCTGACTTGGAAGAAATTGGGTCACCACTTGGGGACACAAAGTGTGCAGTTTGGACTGTTCACAACAAGACAAGTCCCTTAAATGGCTTCCTCCTGCTCTCTTCCTCCCTCCAAGAACAGCACAGAAAGCACTGCTAACAAATACTAACCAGTGCTACATGTGTCAACCTGAAGATATCTCACAAACATAATAATGAATGAAAAACTCAAGTTACAGAAACATTCATGCAGAATAATAGCATATAGATGAAGGAAATAACTTGCCACAACATTAATTTAGGCATACATGTATTTGTATTATAAATACAAGGAAATTCAAAGAGATGCCATCAGAAAGGAGAACACAGGAACTTAAACTGTATTGGGTAATATTTTGTTCTCAAGATGGGTGTTTACATCTCATGATATACATGATTATTTGTGAATTATTCTAGTTATGCAGATACTGCAAAATAGATGTTCTAAAACTGGTTGCTTGTCAACATCAGAAGCTCACCAAGCCTTGTCCCTTATCCTAACTCTTGAGCACATTTTTTCATTGGCTTGGTACCTGGATTCTCTCTGTACATCCCCTTAAGACTGATGAATATCAGAGTGACCTACCAGGTTTTGTGATTTGGCATCATCCCATGACACTGTCCCTCAGCTTCCCCCGAGGTCTATGAACTACAATCTACATGCAAGTTACACTTGGCTTGCTTGGTTCTAGCCAGGTTCCAAAACATAACTATACTTACTCAAAGGCTGCTTAGACTGAACTCAAAATCTCAGGATATCTGGAAAGATAGCATCTTTTCCAGAGCCTCCCTAAATTTCCTAAGTTCCCATGTGTTTGTTCTATACATTGTACACTAAACTAGAACAGAAATGACCCAGAACTGAACTGCTTCTTATATGCCATGAGCCAATCCTCTCTCAGAAAATTGCCTGGTTAGTACAGACATTCTAGATCAATTCCAGTCCTTTTTTTTCACAGGCAAAATTATAGAGACAAAAAGGATCAAGAGCCCATAGACTGATCTGAATAGGAAGCAACAAGATGAAGAACAAAAGGGGCTCTTTAGAAAGATTAAGGATTTGGTTTTTGCATCACTGTCAACTGTGTTCTCCTCAGATAAAGAACACAAGTTGTTTTTCCACCCATGTGTGTCTTATCTGGTTTCATGCTGAAATGGGAAAACCACTTGGTAACTCAGTAAATGTATATATTATCATTACAGCAGATTCACTTAAGACATATTTTGTATTTGAAATATCAGATTTAGAATCTCCTGACTATTCTATATAATCATATTTAGAAATTATTCAGCAGGTTGGGAGCCACAAAAATGCTTGACCTGAAGCTTACGGTCATCCTTGGCTTGGGCTACAAATGTAAGTCTGCCCTCTAAAAATTCAAGGGTCTGCCCTGTGAGGAGAATAAAGGGAAGCTAGTAACACCATGAGTTAGCAAATGAAAGTAACAGAGAAGATGGGAAATCAAGCAAGGATATAAGAGAAAATTACCCTGTGAGAATTTAATTAACAAAATTAGTTCTAAATGGATTTTTGTTCATCTATACCAGAGCTGATTTGTAAATGAGTGACCAAGGAGATCAGAAGTAGTCAAAACTTTATTTAAAAAATTAGAATGTTTCCCCATGAGACAGGACTGGATTGTGATTATGATTTGGTAAGATGACCTCTAATTGATGTTAATAAAGTGCTCCTGGAGAAATATGGTGTGGAGAAGATGAGATGATGAGCCTGGGCATAGATAACGGAGATCCAAGGAGCTAGGTGCCGATGATGCCCATCCAGACTCTGACCAGAGGAGAAGTACTCAGGCCTCAAAATGCAAATAACCTGTTTATTCCCTGTAATACATGTTCCATGTTGGGTGATGGGGCCTCAGTCTGGCAAATTTTCACTTAAAACATGCAACTACTTCCTCTTGCTTGAGTTTCACTTCCTCCTGGACACTTCTGATTATAAGTTGACCACCCATAAAGCTCTCCCTTCAGGGTGTGGATATCCTGGACCTGCCAATGGAACCGTCTGTGTTTGTTTTGGCTTGAACCTATGTCTTACTTGTTCTCTGAATGCCAACCAAATCAAATTTCTGAGCCTTCGGAAGACCAGATCAGGGTTATGCTGAGTTCACCTAAGTTTGTGCCATTTTTTATGTCTCTTTTCAGTTAGTTCATAGAAACATACTGGAGAATCCCTTACCAACTACACATTTTTTGTGTGTGTTTATTTTTGTTTAAAATATTACAGATGTCCCTTTTTCTCCCCAATGACCCACTCCACCCCGTCCCATACCCCTCCCCAGTCCCTCTCCCCACCATTGTCCGTGTCCTTGGGTTGTGCATATATGCTTATGAATTCTTTGGTTAATCTCTCCCCTTTCACCCACCCACCCTCCTCCGTCCCTCCGAGATTCATCAGTCTGATCTATGCTTCCATGTCATTGAATCTATTCTGTTCATCAGTTTATTAAGTTCTTTAGATTCCACATATAAGTGAGATCATGTGATGTTTGCCTTTCTCAGCCTGGCTTATTTCACTTAGCATAATACTCTCTAGGTCCATCCATGCTGTCCCAAAGGGTACAAGGTCCTTCTTCTTTACAGCTGCGTAGTATTCCATGGTGTAAATGTCCCACAGCTTTTTATCCACTCATCTACTGATGGGCACTTGGGCTGTTTCCAGATCTTAGCTATTGTAAATTTTGCTGCTATGAACATAGGGGTGCATATATTCTTTCTGATTAGTGTTTCAGGATTCTTAGGCTATATTCCTAGAAGTGGGATCACTGGGTCAAAAGGCAGCTCCATTTTTAATTTTTTGAGGAAACTCCATACTGTTTTCCATAGTGGCTTCACCAGTCTGCATTCCCACCAGCAGTGTACTAGGGTTCCCCTTTCTCCACATCCTCGCCAGCACATGTCATTTGTCAGAAGAAACTCATCGACAAACCAACTATACATTTTAATCAAATTTTAAAAATGAGTAAAAATAATGAGTACATTTTATCTAGATTACATTCTCATTACTTTAGTTAAATGTGCCCATTAAACAATAGTAAGATTAGAAGAAGAAATTTATTTTTACTTTATTATTTAATACCTACACTTAAGTAGATATCTCTCCTTAAACATTGTAGATGTGGATTTTTCCCTCTCTAGCCAGTAGCCTTGATAAACTGAGCTAAACTATTTAAAAAGATGACAAGATGGTTTGCATATAATTCTGCTGCCCTTCAGCATAGTTAGCTTTGAACAGATCACTAACTAACTCTGCTGAGCATCACAAAAAATGTTATAATAAAAAATTCTCATAGCATTACACAGAGAAACATTTTTTTTCTCGAGTATGATTTGAGTATTAGACACTTAAGAATAATAAGGGTCTATATGTTAGCCAAAGGAAAGGGTATATCTGAATATATCTCATTAAGGGGTACTTGAAATGCAGCTTTTAAAATGGCACATTTCTGGAAATGCTTTTAGGATGAAATTAATTAGAATAAAATTAATTTCCTGTTTGTTACTGTGTGACAACACAACAGTTAGGTAAATTTTCAGCACACTTAGAGGGGTGTTCAGGATATTTAGAATATAAGCTAAAGCAGTATATGCAAAGTTCTCTTGGGATTGCCTTTCAAATAAATGAGCAGGCAAAGATCCACATGATGACCAAAAGTCAAGAACTGCCAGAGAAATAAAGATGCTGTGGGGAGAGAAATAAACAGTTCTTTCACTATGAACCCCAATCTGAAAGACTCAAGAGCAGATGCTATAAAATGCAGGCATTGATTTTTTAATAGAGCCGTTTCTTCTCACATGGATAATAACTCTGTGTGGCACATGCCATGGGAGTACAGTAGTTGATTTTTTTTTTAATTCACAGAGGTATTGTTTCTCTGAATAACAATAGGAAGGCTAACTAACAATGCCATCCGCTTTATAGTTATCTTGCATGAACAACATCCTCAGAATGTTCCACAGTAATAACAGCCAACACTAACATAACTCAACTAACCTTTATGAACCCCTCAAAAAATAAACTGTAATACCATCATTTTAGATATGAGAAAATTGAGGCATATAGAACTTACTATTAACATGCTCCAAGTCACCCAGTTAGTAACTCAGAGCACTCTTGGTTTCAGGGACCCTGCTTCTAACCATTGGATATGAATGCCTCTCAGTGAGTCCATGGAACAATAATATCCCACAGGATATTACTAGATATTCAATGAAATCTTTAAAAGTTTTTCAGTCCAGTAAATTTTGGGATATGTTGAGTGAAACAAAACTAAATAATTTTTCTTCTACAGAACTAAGAGTCTTTAATGCTCTAATGTTCACTGTGAGTTTTCACAGAACCCTTGGTTTAGAAAAAGATATTTAACATTATTGATATTTACATTGGTATCATGTATTGTATTTTGATTATTTTAAAGAGAAAACGTACTATCTTAAAAAAAACTGGTTAGGAGGATTAAAAAAAATGTGCAAGGGTGCAGACAAGCAGGGAGGAAACATCAAGGGGACCTGAGATACTGGATCATATATTTAGAGCTTTGAATTCTCTGTAGGAATAATGGATTGGGTTGATATTAGGAAGAGAAAAAATAGGGGAGATTCCAAGATGGTGGCAAACTGAGTGGAAGCTACACTGACAATCTCCCAGGACCAAGCTGGAATTACAACTAAAATATAGAAAAACCATCCTGAATAATCAAC